AATTTAAAAAACTAAAAACTTTGCATGTTCAGACATTTGTTACAATTTCTTCAATTTGGTTTTTTACAGCAGGTTTAGCACTTTCTTTAATTGGAATAACAGTTTACCATATGATTGCTACGGGAGGCTCAAATCCAGAATTTAATAGTATCTCAGATAAGCCTACGATGTAAAATATTTAATAAATTATTTCATGTAAACATTTAGTATTAAATAAATGTTCTGTAAATGCTTTTTTTGAAATTTTGCTGAATTTCATAGATTATTAAATACAATTAAATGAAGTGAATTCTTTATATAACGTTTTAAAAAAAAAAATTATAAATTTTACCAAATCAAAATAGTAGAAGACTCAAAATTTAATTCCTCTAAACTGTTGCAATGCTTCTTGTATATTTGTTGATGAACTTCCGTTGTTTCCTGTTAGAATGGATGACAACATATATGTTTTTGGTAATTCTGTTGTTATAGAAATGTTCGCAAGGATCCCACAACACTGGATATCAATAAAGTTTGCATCAAATAGTTGTATCCACCTTAAGCCAGGCCTAAGGCATGAAATAGGAATTGAAGCTGCTGCAATAAATTCAGACTGTATAGAATCTGATGACTTAACCTCGAAGTTGATAATCGAAATTTCTGGGCAAAGAACATTAAATGTAAATGGAGATAAGTTTTCCCATTTTGGATTAAAGCCATTATTATTTATTACAGGTGTTCTGTATGACTTGAACTCTTCGCTGGGCCCTCCAAAAACGGAAATAGTAATATATGGTGAAAGTTTATTCCCAGATATTAGACCTGCAATTCCACGTGAGAACTGCGATAGATTGTCAGGGAGCTGGTGAGCTGATAATATTTGAATACACACTCTAACAGGAGGGATATCAAAGAGCTCTAAAGTTTCTAATGGGTTCATAGGATCAAATACTCGTCCATCAGAGCACTTTTTTAGGCACATTTTTGGTTTTAGTACGTAGCCACTTTTAGAGCCACCGTTTTGTCTGAATCTCCCTTCATTCAATAATAAAGCGGTTCCAACTGCTTGGTAATTCAATGCAACAATCTGAGCTCCGTATGACCATGGTATTAAAGGATTATAGTTTGAACTCGATATGCGTGTACCTGATGGATAAACTCTACATAGATGATCTTGATGGAATTTTGCAAGGCTCATACTTGAGTCTTTTGCAAAGCGCAGAAATTTTGTTTCAACAAGAGAACCAATGCTCATTCTTCTTCGATTTTCAAAATTGGACAGTTGTATCGCATTTCCTGGAAGAGAAATTAGACTAGAATATAATCTCCTCTTAGCCTGATTTTGATTGTAAGACGAGACTTGTCTTTCATTTTCTACCCTTGTATTATTGGACATTTCGAGATCAACTTCTAATATGTCTGGGTTTACATCATTTTTTTCATCATCTTCATTAATAACTCCTGCTTTTAAATCAAAACTAATATCTTCCTTTGGGATCTTAGCTTTAACAAGAAATTTATACTTAAGTTCATTTGGGCTGGGAAGTCTATCACTTCCATCATTTGGGGGAATATAAAGAGAATCTCCTAGTACGTCCAATATTATTTCTGCAACCTTTTCACGTTGTTTATCAGATGCATGCATTTCAAGTGACAAAATAGTCGGATATGGAGATATCTGGAAAGCATAGTCTTTGCATGCTCGAATCACGTCTTCAAAATAAACTTTAGATGTTAAAGTGTGGCCATGGTAAACAATTGGTGATCCATCTGGGCCATTCCAAACATCCAACTCTACACATCTACATCCCTGAAGTAATACGGTTATATATTGTCCAATCTCGGACTTTGAAGTCAGTTGGTCGCCAGTTAAATATGTATTGTGGCTCGAAGCTATCCAGTAATGTGAAATGGGTTCATCCATTGATTGATATACATCTCTTTTTAATGGATCAAATGCGGAGTTAAACTCCGAAGACATCAGAATATTGAACCCAATTTCAGTAATACCTCCTCTTTCAATAAACGGTTCTTTCATATTTAACACAGCATTAACTAATGATTCTAATGAGTTTGATGGATCCATCCCTTGAACATCTATCAGAAAATTACGAAATTTATTTGCACTCATAACATTTGTATCTGGATCCTTATATTCATCAAATAAATCTCGCAACTCAGGGAGTATTAAAAGCTGAGTCAGCAAATTTCTAAATTCCTTATAATCAAGTGCACCATTATTATCATTATCATATTCACAAAAGAGAGCTTGAGTATAATCTTTAGATACCGGCATCTGTAATCTCTTTGTTAAACGCATCAACTCTGAGAAGCTTATTGAACCAGAGTTATCTAAATCTGAAAGTTCCCATTGACGCCTAATGTAGTCGTGAGTGTAAAAATGTTTGGCATCAACAATTTTTTTTGTTCCTTTAACTTTTGAAACTAACTTCTCTCTTTGAGCAAGAGCATGACTTACTAATAGCCCAACCATCCAAAATTTCCATTCTTCTTTATTTGCGCACAAAAGTCTTAATGTTTTATTTCTTTTTCCTATTACTACTAGTTCAATCCCAAAATTAGAATTGATATATTCCTTCTTTGTACATTTCTTTGACCTCCAAAAGTCACTATCAGATCCTGGAAGAATGTGATTTACATCATTTAGATATAAAGTCTGAATAAATACCACTTTTCTGGAACAAATTAAACTTTTTTTTTTTTTATACCACTTTACGCATCCAGAATCTAAGTCAATTTCAAAGTTATATCTTGAAAAGCGTTTACTACCTATACAAGAACGTGGGTATTTATATAGGTAAGAACCACTTTTGCACGTATCTAGTGCAATATCAACATCAACTTCATGAAGCAATTGCATGAGCCTGTCGCTTACAACTATATTCAATTTATTTGCTACATCCTCAAATGTGCGAACAGATATTACGTATTCAGATAGATCTTGACTTCCGAGCAACCTATTAATGCTAATTTCACCATTACAGTCTAACAATGGCCGAAACATTATATTTATATTGCGAGGAACTTAACATGCAACCGTAATTTGCACGGCAGGTAGCGTTATTGCGGCAGGAATATTTGTGCCGCCAAAAAAGACACTCTTCCGTAAAAAATACTTTTCTTTACTTCTTAGTATTTTAATTATTTATTAGTTTGTTTTTTTATCTGTAAATATTTTATAATGATGATGATTCGCTTTATCCGTGTTTCAATTGAGTACAATTTTCTGTACAATGAGACATTTTGCGCATTCTGAAGTTATAGTTTTATTGCACAATGCCACAGTATCAACGTGAATTGTTGCTACCGTCCATGTTTGTGCATAAATTAACGAGAATACAATAGGAACTCCAGAATGAACTGCTGATTTTTGGAGGCTGATAGTACTCTACATTTTCCATCTTATCGTCTAGTAGATTTTTAACTACTAATCACTGCGCGCCCTTGTCTGGTTTTTTGTTGACTTTTAGCATTATTATTCAATGGAGAAAATAACTCTTATTTCAAATCATAATGGCATATATTCTTTTGATAGAAATACTGGGACTGTAGCGCAAACATTCAAAGAATGTAATGCATCCAAGTTTAGTGTTTCCTATATAGGTAATTCTACAAAATATCTTGCTGGCTTCCAAGCAAACAAATCAACTCTACACATATGGAGCAATAAAAGCGATCCAATTTACAGAGTTTCACTTCCTGAAATAATAAAGTGCTGTGAGTTCCAAGATGATGGTGGTGTTGTTTATGCAGGTGGTCTTTCAGGTACCGTTTACATTTGGGTAGTAACCACAGGGCAGCTTTTGAATTGCTGGCTTCCGCATTATAAATCTATAAATAAAATAAAACTGGTACAAGGCAATTCAATATTGGTTACATGTAGTGATGATTGCTATATACAAGCATTTCTGATCAGTGAATTGCTTGAAAGCAACAACTCTTTAACTTTTCCAAAACCACTCATTAAATGGAATGCTCATTCTGCTTCGGTAAATGATTTTTTCCCCTTAAATTTGACAAACAGTCTTTTGAACCTATCTATCATTTCCATTGGAGGAGATTTTTCATTAAACTTTCTTACATTTAGATCTGAAAAACCCTTAGCAAACCTAAATTTCTCGACTCAATTATACTCTTGTACTTCTACAGAATGTGGTAAATTAGTTTTTATTGGAGGCGGAAATGGCATAATTTATAAAATATATTATGACAATATACTTACTCTAGAAAACCATATTTCCAAGTTATTTGGCCATTCTGGGCCTGTTAAGGCTTGTATTTGCTCTAAAGATAAAATATTTTCATCCGCAAATGATGGAGTAAGAGTTTGGGACATAGCAACAGGGTCATGCATCGCTCAGCTACCCCAATTTGGAGATGGCATACTGTCTATTTTAAATACTAATTTGTCAATCAGTTATTTATCTTTATCGATTCCTATTTTCAAACCTTTACAAAGGAATATTTCTAATTATTGTAATGTAATTGGGATTAATGTTCCATCTAAGGACAGGAGAACAGACATTAAAAATGAAATTTATCATTATTCAAACAGAGCAGATGCTATTTGTTATTTAAATATGTCTTTGCTAACTTTTAATGGCATTTCTCAAAAACGTGTAAGCCGAATAAATACAACAAAAAATAGTATCTTTACAAATGAATATAATAATATTATCAAACTTGCAGTTGAAAAATGCATTTCTCTGGAATCATCAAAGTTGAGATCAAATTGTAGTATCCATGATAATAAATTTGAGCTTTTGAGAACTTGTACTATTCCTTATTCCAAGTTTAAAGAAGTTAAAACAATAAAAGCTGATGAAGAAAAAAAGGTTCAAGTTGCAAGTCAAAATTTTAAAAATCTACCGAAAATTAAGTATAAATTTATCAAGAGCTGCAATATAAGTAAATTTTCCAGAAAGCAATACTTAAGAATGTTACTTAAAAAAAAACATCCAAAACTCTCTAGACATTAAACAAACCACCTCCATACGTGAGCTTCCGTGGCTTAGTCGGTTATAGCATTCGGCTGTTAACCGAAGGGTCGACGGTTCGATTCCGTCCGGGAGCGTTTTTTGTCAAAAATTTTAATTTTTTATCTCATTATTTTTAGAATCTATGTTCAATTTTTATTAATAATAAATTTTAGGAATTCATTGGTTTTAAAAAAGGCTTATGATTTCAAAATTTCAGTTTTTAACCCCTCGCATCCGTTTTAATACTTAGATTTGGGGGGATTCAAACAATTTTTTTGAAATAAATACTAACATGCTAATTTATGTTAGTTAATGAGCAATCAAAAAAAATAAATGATAGACTTGGTAGTTTGCCTTATAACTGAAAAATAATGAGCGTTGCTCCTGAATTTTTTAATTTACCCACTAATAAATATGAAGAGTTAGGAAAATTAAATAAATCAACTTTAAGAAAAAAAAATCAACTTTGTTCGAATATTAATGTAAATAGAGCAGCCCACTCAAAGGCTTTTGTTCAAGAAAATAAGAATATTGTTTCTCAGCTATCAAAAGCTATGAATAAGGACCATTCTATTGAATTTGAGCAGCCAATAATCGAAGGTTGGCTGCATAAATGGACTAATATGGTAAACACTTGGAAACCGAGGTATTTTAGACTTTACCCTGGAATTTTGTGTTATATAAAGGGTTCAAAAATCAGGAAAATTAATATTCCAAACAAATCTTGCTATATAGATATTTATTCGAGTAAATGTAATCGAATTTCGCTGAGATACCCCAGTGATTCAAATAGTGACTTGCATTTGAAAGCATGTTCACTCGAATCAAAACTTGCTTGGATAAATTCTCTGATTTATTCTATGAATGCAAAAGCACTTCTTGGGAAAGAATTGCTTTTTAATCAAGTAAATTCATGTAATTCATCTATTTCGTATAAAGATTCACTTAACATTCGTAACATTCCTTTTCTAACGAATTTATTATATGAACTAATAAAAACAAGAAGTTTGATTTTAGACGAAATTTCAGAAAAAAGAGTTAAATCTATCAAAAATAACATCACTAAGTATTTTGACAAATTAATTGATACGGTTTTCGAGAAAACATGCAATATTAATTTAGTTAAACTTCACGAATGCGACATTTATTCATCTTTATTTAGTTTAATAAATACAAAAGATGATATTGGAAAAATTATTATTAAAAGCAATGGAGAATTACAAACTTCTGAATTGACTGAAGAAATATTTTATGATGCTTTTTCAGATTTTGAAGATGATATTGAATCAGAGAAAACATTGAATACTCCCAATATATTTCCTAAAAAAGATGAATGCCATTATTGTTTTTGGAAAAAGAACCCATATAAATATCGCATGACGTTACCTTTTATTCAACAAAAGCCACGCTTTAATTTGTGGGCGTCCATAAAGGAGTCTATAACGAAGGATATTTCACGAATAACAATTCCAATTCAGTTCAATGAACCAACATCATTATTACAACGACTTGCAGAAGATTTTAGATATTCATCAATACTAGAGAATGCGTCCCTTTACGATTCTAGTATAGATCGTCTTCGTGAAATAACTATATTTTCTATTACTCCTTACGTATCTTCAATAGGGAGGATATTTAAACCATTTAACCCTTTACTTGGCGAAACTTTCGAGTTTTCTCATCGAGGTTTTAGGTTTATTGCCGAACAAGTAGGTCACCATCCTCCTACCACAGCATTTTATGTTGAGCATCATCCAACGAATATGAACGACAAAATTCCAAAAATTGGGCATATAAATAATCCCTTGTATTCAGTTTGGGGACAAGTTGGAAATAAATCTCGTTTTACAGGCCAAAGCTTAGAGCTTACTGTAATAGGAAATGTTAATGTAATGCTGAATGATAAAGGTGATAATTACACCTTTAACAGACCGAAATTACTCATTCACAATATAATATTTGGTAAACTTTGGATAGAAATTGTGGGGATTAGCACTATAATAAATCGAAAAACTTCAGAATTTTCATTAATTGAATATCAGAAAGGTGGATGGTTTAGTAATGATTTGTTTAATATTAAAGGATTTGTATTTAATAAGTATGGCAAACCAATCTACAAAATAGGAGGGAAATGGGACACTAAGATTTGGTATGAATCTTGTAAAATTGATCAAGAGTATACTAAGGAAAATATCTTCATTAAATCAAACTTAGAGTCAGAAAAGGTAATTAGGCAAAAAGAAAGCTATAAACTTTATGGAGAATCAGCTGAGACAAGTTCAAATATAATTCCTGCAAGTTGTTTATATTTACTGTCAATTTGGGATAAAGTCGAATCTATCCCTTCAACTCGTAAGACAGCATGGGTAGCCGAAGCTAAGCCCTTCCAGAGTGAAAAATTCTTTGGGTTCGCTGAAATGACATTTGAACTCAACGAAATTTCACCACAGTATGATATTAATACACCTGGTGTAAATATGCCTTGTACTGATTCTAGGTACAGGCCAGATCAGAGAGCATATGAAAATGGACATATTGAGTGGGCAGTTAAAGAGAAGAGAAGGCTCGAGGAAAAGCAAAGAGCAAGCGCAAAAAAAAGGTTAAATGGCGAAGCTGATTATTCTCCAAAATGGTTTTCCAAGGAATTAGATGATACTACTGGAAAATTTAATTGGAAATTCAATCATAAATACTGGGCCCATAAAGATCAGCAAATCGAATTTTCAGATTTACCAAATATTTTTTGATAAATGAAAAGAGGCATCACTCATAGAGTCGCGTATCATTATCATTTACGTATTGCATAATGCTTTGGGAGTCGTCAGTGAATAAACCATCTGCCTTTAAAGTTTTAATAAAATAGTCGTATTCTTCATAAATATCTTTGAAATACGACAATACAGACTCTGGTCTAAATGTATACGGTACAACAATCAGACCAAGTTCATGTGCTCTAGAAACAAAGTGACTTGAGCTAGGCAAAGTATTGTTTAAAGTGTTAGTTCGATCGATCAAGTCTTCTTTATAAGGAGATACAACATTTGCAAATTTCGAAATGTACTCTAAGTCACAAGTCACATATTTCATTTTTCCACCATTTTCCACATCCTCAATTGCATATACAAAGCTGTTTTCACTATCTCTAGTTAAAAGTTGTACCAAATTTACCTCACTCCTAGCGCGTATATATTCTAAATTAGATGGCTCGAAACTTTGAATATAAACTGTGTCAGTCTTTTTATTAATGCCAAATCTATCCAATGCATCTAGTAACTTGTCAGTTATGTTACCAATTCCTTTTCTCTCGTGAAAAACTGGATATTTAATCTCAATATATAATCCGGGAAAATTGCCATCGAACCCAGAAACACTAAACTTCAGGAACTCATCTAGTGTAAGTATATCATATATTCCGTTTAGACCTGGATTTCTGTTATTGTATTTCTTCTCATGAGTACATTTAATTCTTTTGATTTCTTCATATGTAAGATCCCATGAAAATATACCTGTGATTGCATCATCACTGTTATTATCATAAAGGATTTCTGTTCTCCTAAGGTGACTAAATTCAATCAAATCATCGATATTTGTGGACTCGGATAAGTTTGGGCTGTGCCTCAAAATCAATACACCGTCTTTAGTTGAGACGATATCGCATTCAATAAAATTCACTCCATGTTTTGCTGCAAGAGAATATGCGACTAAGGACTCTTCTGGCACAAAATAAGATGCGCCTCTATGAGCAACTAAATGAAGACCTGCGTTTTCCCTTACCATCATGTGGAAAATAATTAAATAAAGAATAAGCATTTAAGTACTGCAAAAACTATCAGGCAAGGTTTGCGCCAGAATATGAAAGAAAATAAATAAATTAGAATAATTTGGAATAATTAGGTTGAGTTTAAAGAAAAAATTATTATCATCTCAAATAATCAAATGGGCAATCTAAACCTTATAGGAATAAAATTTTATTACAATTGATATCTACTTTTTAGAATATCCGTTTGGATTGTTAAATTGCCAATTATAAGCAGATTTGCATGCATCAAAAATACTGTGTCTCGCCTTCCACCCTAACTCCTTTTCTGCTTTTGACGGATCAGCAATTACACTTGCCAAATCTCCAGGACGCCTATTTATTATTTCATAAGGAATTTGTTTCCCGCTAGCATTTTCAAAATTCTTAACCATTTCTAGTACGGAAATTCCGTTTCCACAGCCCAAATTATAAATATCTAGGATTTTGTCCGTGTTGCTCAAATTCAATAATTTTTCGAGAGCCTTGACATGCCCATTTGCTAGATCAGTTACATGAATATAGTCTCTTACCCCTGTTCCATCCCGAGTTGGCCAGTCATTGCCAAAAACGAACAATTTCTCTTTTCTTCCAATTGATACAAGTTGAATATATGGAAGTAGGTTATTTGGTTCCTCTGGGTCTTCACCTATTAAGGAAGATGGATGGCAGCCAACAGGATTGAAGTACCTAAGTATTGAAAATTTTTTATTTTCGGATGCACTGTAAATATCTTTCATAATAAGTTCTATCATGAACTTTGTTTGGCCATATGGGTTTGATGCCCCAAGTGGGTCAGTTTCCAAAAGAGGTGTAGATTTTGGTAAATAAACTGTTGCACTCGAGGAAAATACTAAAATATTGCAATTAACTTCTTTCATCACTTCTAGCAATCTAATAGTTCCGACGACATTATTTTCGTAGTATTCTAATGGCTTGGAAACCGAAACTCCAACAGCCTTGAGTCCTGCAAAGTGAATTACAGCGTTGTACCTCTCCTTCGAAAACAAATCTAGCATCTTTTCTTTATCTCTAATATCAATTTCAAAGAAAGGAACCTTAACTTTGGTGATTTTTTCAATCCTGTTTACAACTTCGGGATCTGAGTTTGAAAAGTTATCTAGTATATGAACAGAATAACCCTCTTCAATAAGAGCTATTACGGTATGACTACCTATGTAGCCGGCTCCACCTGTACATAAAATTTTTATCTCGCTTTTATTCATTTTTTAGAATAGTGAAAAATATTCCTGTGTGCGTTGTGCTATGCATAATATTTTTTTCGCGTTGTCTGCGAAT